CAAATATTCATGCCTTTTCCCTCTGGCATTTGCATCTTTTTCCCATGCGCATTTTTCATTTCATGTAATGGTATTTTTATCCCGGCAAAGCCCCTTGACAACTTAACTTGAACGCCTCGACCACAACAAGGAGGGGAGAGAATTTATTCCAATATGAAATATTTTTATGGGCTGAAAGATGAAACTTGTTTTATATTTTGATGTCAAGTCAAATCATGAACTGCATAACAACACGTGCCACTGCTGCTTCTCTCTTTTTTTTCCCTACATAAACATTGCGGCAAATAAATGAAAGCTTTTCCAATTTTTTTCAAGGCAGAAAAAAAGCCTTGGTGGGAGAATGATTGCAGCGGGATGTTTTCAAAAGCTTTTCTCTCATTACGTCTGTTAAATGACGACGGCGGCAATTGTGACGGCATCAATGTATTTTATTGTCTGTACCTGAGCTGCTGAAAAAAAAGGCCTAACTCATAACTTGTGTAATGTTGTTTTGCCAATATGCTGATAAATGTTCCGTCGGGGTTGTAACATATTGATTTTTTTTCACTCCTCCACTGCGGTTAGATTTGTAGTGTTTGACATCTTAAAACGACCCCGCAGTGCTTGCCGGGAAGATGCTCGCCACAGTAAATGTCCGCCTTAGCTGTCACTGAGTTATGACCTTGGGATCCGCTGGTAAATTTTGCTTATTTCCCAAAAGCCAAAGCCCGGACTTTCTACTAATGGGAAGCGCAAATCCCCCAAACAATACCAACCGTTTGCTCCTTTTCTCAACCAAAACATGCATTCAGGCATGCAAAGAATGCTGTTGTACGAGATCAGCAACGTTATGCGGTGTTAAAGTGAGTTCAACGTTGCTAACAGTTGCAAAGAAGCCCGCCAGACATTCCCAAACAGTTTTTCTTGTCGCCGTTACATTTTGAACATGTTTAAAAGTTCTTTGCGACCAGAAGAAACACGCTTTTGTTCACAACCGCGAGGCGCACTTAAAAGCCTTCAATTTTCTCCCAAATGGACGCGGTGCCTAATAATGCGGGGCTAACGTGTCTGCTTGCGCCGTCGTTCGAGCTTTCGCAAAAGCCGCCGATTTTTTGGACGAGCCGCGCGACAAAGCGACTGACTGACAATGATGCGAGGGACCCGGCCGGCCGTGTTTGATGGAGAACTTGACGAGCTGTTCATTTCGCATACAAATGATGAAGACTTTGATGGATTTGTGGATGAGGATTGATCAAAAAAAAATCATGCGAGTACATTGTTAAATATGTCAATAAAGTACAAGCAAACTCGGTTTTGCTCTCGCTGCCTTTTTAAAAACACGCGCTAGCGTGCTTGCATGCCACCGTATTTTTTTTTAAGCTAGCGTACATTTTACCATGCCCGCGTCTAATAATACAGTGCGTCTTGCGTATGTGTTGAATAGCATTGCGCAATTTTGTCTTCTCTTCGGTCAGGAGCGTTATCTTAAACTAACGCTACGTTGTTGTCGGCCCGTTACCGTCAGATGCTAATTTAGGCCGAGTTACTGTACTATTATTCGTGCGAGCAAACTAGCTAAACTAGCAAGCCAATTTAACAGGAACAGTGTCGTTCGTCATCATCGGGCCATGCAGTCGACTTTCGCTCCGTGATCTGGATCTTGATTTGTTTCGTATAATTTCCTTGCGTCACTCGGATTGATGTTGAGCAACATTTAGGAACTAAAGGGTCGCGGGGCTCTTAGCATACACAAGTAGACACCGTGGGTTCAACGGTGGGTCAAACTCAAGTTGTTGAACTATATGTGAACGTTGAATCCATCGCTGCGTTTATGATGTGAGATCGTCCACTGTAATGACAAACATAATGTTTCACTTAAGCTGCCATTCAATCAATTATGAGCCAAGCGGCAAGACATAAACACGTATAAAACGAAGTAGCATATTGATTGTTGCCAGCCGAAGTGTGTGATCAATGTTCGGTCGGGCGTTCGAGCAATTCATTAACTGCGAATGCTGCACGGCTCCTTCAGATGTCATCATGATTGACCCCTCCCACCGCCCACCCCCTTTACAATCGATCAACATGCCGGCGCACGTCAGGGCCTGCGGGCGCAAACCTGAAGAGGTCAATGTCACGTCAAAATTGATGAGAGGGAGACACCGACGCAGAGGGAAATTAAAATGAGACACGAGTGCGAGCTCAGACCTCTGCCAAGGCTGTAATTGAAAAGTCAATAAAGGAAACATAATATGGAATTTTTCCATTACATGTCCTATTTATCAACAAGAAAACCTCTTTACAAAAAAAAAAAACCATATGGAATTTTTCCATTACATGTCCTGTTTATCAACAAGAAAACCTCTTTACAAAAAAAAAACCCGAATATGAAAACAAAATAATGCTGTGCAAATACAAATACATTTAAAATGAAAGAAGTTGGCATACCGTTCGTTATCACTTCAAAAATACACTTGAAAGGGCTATGAAAGAAGTTTGAGCTACACACAGTTTAATCACTACTCTGTTTTAAAGATCAAGCCCATTAATAACCAGTTATGAATTGATATTATGTTACAGTTTCGGGACGCGACAGCTTAAACTGGCAGTACAGCGCTCAAATCCATTTGATTTTGTCGCATCACTTGTTGCCGGGCAGATTTCATCCAGCACAATTTGCATCTAAAAATAAACAACGGTGTAACTCCGGTCAAACCAAGTTTAATCATCGCTCTGTATTAAATGTAAAGCCCGAACCACAACCGGAGTTTAAAAGCATGGAACGCCAAAAGATCCCGTGGCTAACAACCATAAACAATCTTAGAGCGCAATCAATCATTTTTTTTATTCCTTTGACATTCCAGCAACTTTGGCCGGCTTGCAGCTACAACATGGCGGAAGTTGCCAGGGAGACTTTTGCTGACTGCGTCTCGGGTGCACTCTCGCAATGACAATGAGGGCCAGCGAGGGGGCAGGGGAGAAACTTGCTTACATGGAGTGCATTTAGCGCAGTGATGTTTGTTCAAATCTACGTAATATCGTGTACAGTTGATTTTAAGTAAACCCTAAAAAAGGTTTTCATGGATATTTCTAAAGTGCACCAGTCGAAAAAAAAAGATTCAATGCGCATTTTGCAAACAAAAAAATGGTTCGTACCTGACAGTGCAGAGGTGCAGGGTTGGATTGCGGCTGCGGCCTTCCTGTGTGGCGTTTGCATGTTCTCCCCATCTTCCGGCCGACCGACCTAGCAAAAGCCTGAAGGTTTTATTGTCTACACTAACCACTGTCTCAACCGCTTCATAATTCCCTCCACCTGGACTAAGACCCCCAGTTCCAGATGAACAAAAACTGTCCCAAAGCATGCTCCAGCCACCACCATCATGCTTGACTTTTGATGATATCATACAGACAGACATACAAAACTAAATGTTCCATGTTCAGTTGTTTATTTTTTGACTTGGCCTCATTTTTATTTCTCAATTGAATTGGATAGGTTGTGGGGGCAACATGAATGGTGGAACCCCCTTTGAAATGTTTCTTGGTTTCATTTTTTGTGTCACAAAAACCTGTCTTGTCATGCCACCTGTTTAGCAATCCATTTAGCGACCGTCCATCTGACCCTACCTCTCCGTCTAGCGGTATTCATCTATCAGTCCGTGCCAAGTGGCTGTCGGGCCTAAACCGGCTTCTTATCTTTCACATCATAATGTTTCCAATCCGCCGCAATTATTCTTCACGGAGGCGTGAAATTGATCCCAAACATTTACTTTCTTCTCCTCCTCCTCCCCACCACCACCACCACACGGTTTGATCTCCTCTCCGCCGAGACCTCCTCCGATAAAATGTAATTACACAGAGGGGCTTTCAGGGCTTAAATCTTTCAATAGAGGATTGAAACGAGCACACTGTGGCCATTAAGTCAATGATCGTTTTGATCACGATGATTTGCAAACAGGGAGTTTAATTGATAACGATGACGACGATTGCTTATTCGTATTGAGATTTTTCGTCAGTTAGCTCCTCTGTAAAATCACTAACCCGAGGATAGTTGAAGTGTATCGGCTGTGCCAACAGCGCCACCCAGTGGCTAAGACTCGGTGTTTGCGTGTGTGTATGGATTTTTTGTTTTAACTTTGGACCAACTTTCATGTATTCGGGGTTGGGGGGTGTTCTTTATTCCAAGCCCCCTCAAAACTCACTCGTACCCTTGAGACGCGTTTAACCGATCGGGTGGACGAAGCTTATCTGCAAAGAATTAACCGTAGGCTGTGATTCTCCCTCCCACCAAATAAAAAACAAAGGGCTCTCTTGAATGAAAAGTCCCATTCAAAGATGGCACTATCTATTAATTGCAATTGCTCATTTTGCGCATCATATTTTCACAAAAATCAACGTACTCGGGGATCTTAACATGATACTAGCATAGGTTTTGCTGCGTGTCATTCAAATCCGCAAATGAATGAGATGGCTTCCTCACCTGGCTAAAGGTTGCAGTTCGGGTAGTCAACTTGGTCTCCCCAACAGAACGGCCGCCGTCCAATTAAGCCACCATACGCGTTTAAAACACAATTACGTGTTGGAATATATCCATATTTTTGCAGGGCGGGAATTGACTAAACCCTCGTGCGCTTTAACCGAACTGTCAACGCTGTGGGAAGGGTAAAAAGAAACTTCTTTATGTACTTTGGAGCTCGGTATCGTGGTGGCCATGTCACGTCCTTCTTCACGTTTACAGCCTCAGGCTTGGAGACCCCGGGGAGCGATGCTGCCACCCTGTGGGGAAAATTGGCATTGCATCCTTCAGTCAACATTTTTCTTTTTCAAAAATGAATCGAGGGCCACTCCGAGCGTGGGGCTTGACTGAAATTGAACAGGAAGACGTCCATTTTGCTCGTCCAGACAGAAGGGTGACCCTGACTTGTGAAACCTTTTTACCGACACGCCAGGTAATGTGGGTGGAGCAGCGTGTCAAAGTTTGATCATTTGTACTATTCGCCATGAAAACAAAAGTGGGTGCGACGGCCTATTCAGCTTTAGTTTTTATGAAGAACTTCATCAAAACTGAATAAAAGAAGTCAATATTAAATACAGTTTGGGTATCTTGACAGCGGAATCTGCAATACTTGCTGCAACCTAACACAATCTAACAGAAACATCTACGCATACATACGTATGACTCTTTTCTACATCCATACAACTTTTATGTCATTTGATTAAAAAAAAAATAAAAAAAACAATCACATTTTTGTACTGGTTTCAGGTTTTTCTGTAAGGGTTATTTTAAATGGACTTGTGGCTGGTCATGACGCCCCGGAGGAAGTCGTCAAAACGAGGGAAGCCGGATTTTGTGGCCTCCTTGGTTGTTTTGTGGGCGAGCCGCAACGCCGCTTTCTCCTCGTCGTCTGTGTCGGCGCGACGCAGGCGACAGTTGTAGTCGAGCTCCGGGTCGCAGTGCGGGTCAGGGAGGATGATGGCGCCCTCGCCGGGTCCCCGGGCTCGAACGGCGGAGGGCGGCGCAAACTTTGCGCAGGTGGGGTCAAAGGGATGGCAGCGGGGCTCGGCCGGAGCCTCGGCCTTCTGCCGGGGGTCGACCGGGGTGCAGTCTTTGTCATAGTGCACATAGCAGTCGTCGCCCTCCTTGGTCTTGCCGCGGATGCCGAGCTTGTAGCGGACCTGATTGATTGATTGGTGGGTGGGTTTTGGTCATACAGCCAGAAAGTGAAAGCGTTACACAGCAAAAATTAACGACGGTGTTCTTGCAGATTTTTTAAACTTTTTTGTCTATTTGTCTGTCGCAAAAATCTGCGGTCTGTAGTAAACGTTTTTTTTATTTTTTAATTCAATTTTCACTGTAATGCCCTCGCATGTGGGAAAGGAAAGCCACAGGTGCCGATGCACTTTTCAGCCATTTATTCATCACTGGCAAAACATTTCAACACAAACACAATGAAAACACTCATCCGGGAGCTGCTCTCAGCCGCAGCTCGGCCCAGACACTCACACATCGCCCTACGAGACGCCGCCGCCGCCGCCTTAAAGCCACATGATCTCACCGTGATCCGATATGAAATCAGATACTCCAATACTGTCGTAGTTTCTCTACATTTTAGGCTTGAATTGATTTGGTGTTTGCTCAAATACATTTACAATGTGTTTAAAAAGTGTGTTTGAATCACTTCAAATGTCCGGAACATTCACGTGTGCAGTGGTACCTTGACTTACAAGTTCCATCCATTATTCGAACGTGCGGTTGTGAGTCGTAGACGAACAGCAGCTCCTTGCGGGTGATCTCATTCGTTTTTTTCTCGCTCAATAAACGGCTGAAGGTGAATCAGCGACTGTGGCTCTCCTTGCCCACATGCGAGGGCATTGCGGTATTTTAATTGCTCCATTTTTCTTTCACTTGACGAGAGCGGTGGCGCATCTGAAGCTCGCTCATGACTAAAACCTTGAATTGCAATTACAAAGCAAAAAAGTTGAGCAAGTGACGGTTTCGTCGTAGTTGGAACGCTCCGAAGTCAAGGTACCAACGTGTACTACACAATAAGCCAAATTGAAAAGTAACAAAAGTGAGAGTAACACTCGTGAAAACGTGACTCAGGATGTGAGATTCAGACCTGTTGCTCCGGGAGTTGTGGTCGGGGCTTGCGCAGGGCAGCGGCTGCCGCCAGTATGCAGTAGGGATCGTAGCGGGCTCCTTGGTCTTGCCGCGGATGCCGAGCTTGTAGCGGACCTGATTGATTGATTGGTGGGTGGGTTTTGGTCATACAGCCAGAAAGTGAAAGCGTTACACAGCAAAAATTAACGACGGTGTTCTTGCAGATTTTTTAAACTTTTTTGTCTATTTGTCTGTCGCAAAAATCTGCGGTCTGTAGTAAACGTTTTTTTTATTTTTTAATTCAATTTTCACTGTAATGCCCTCGCATGTGGGAAAGGAAAGCCACAGGTGCCGATGCACTTTTCAGCCATTTATTCATCACTGGCAAAACATTTCAACACAAACACAATGAAAACACTCATCCGGGAGCTGCTCTCAGCCGCAGCTCGGCCCAGACACTCACACATCGCCCTACGAGACGCCGCCGCCGCCGCCTTAAAGCCACATGATCTCACCGTGATCCGATATGAAATCAGATACTCCAATACTGTCGTAGTTTCTCTACATTTTAGGCTTGAATTGATTTGGTGTTTGCTCAAATACATTTACAATGTGTTTAAAAAGTGTGTTTGAATCACTTCAAATGTCCGGAACATTCACGTGTGCAGTGGTACCTTGACTTACAAGTTCCATCCATTATTCGAACGTGCGGTTGTGAGTCGTAGACGAACAGCAGCTCCTTGCGGGTGATCTCATTCGTTTTTTTCTCGCTCAATAAACGGCTGAAGGTGAATCAGCGACTGTGGCTCTCCTTGCCCACATGCGAGGGCATTGCGGTATTTTAATTGCTCCATTTTTCTTTCACTTGACGAGAGCGGTGGCGCATCTGAAGCTCGCTCATGACTAAAACCTTGAATTGCAATTACAAAGCAAAAAAGTTGAGCAAGTGACGGTTTCGTCGTAGTTGGAACGCTCCGAAGTCAAGGTACCAACGTGTACTACACAATAAGCCAAATTGAAAAGTAACAAAAGTGAGAGTAACACTCGTGAAAACGTGACTCAGGATGTGAGATTCAGACCTGTTGCTCCGGGAGTTGTGGTCGGGGCTTGCGCAGGGCAGCGGCTGCCGCCAGTATGCAGTAGGGATCGTAGCGGGGGTCACAGGTCAGGGGGGAGGCGACGTGGGCGGGCTGGCCTTTCGTGGCGTACTCCAGCACGGGCTTGCCGAGGCTCGACAACTTGGTGGCGGTCAACGGGTTGCAGCCGGCATCAAACAGCGGGTTGCAGCGCCGCTCCGGAGGTGCCGGGTCGGCACCGAGGCCGGCAGGAGCGGCGACGTTGCCCACGCAAAAGGGATCCGCAGCCGGGTCGCAGCTTGGGTAGCGCAGATGGTAATAGCCCGTGGGGGCCTTTTGAGCCATCATTGGATTGCAATAAGGGTCCTTGGGGTCACATTTGAGGGCGGCGTAGGACGGAGCGGGACCGGCGGCGGGTCGGTAGCCGTACGCCGCCCTTAGGTGGTACTGAAGACACTCGATGTCGTCGTGGTTGCAGATCCGCAGCAGCTCAGCCTTTTGCTCGTGGCTCACAAAGGGCTCCAGCACGGGAGCGTAGCGGTACAAGCCTGCCGGGCTCTTCATAGGCATCGGCAGTACGGGGGGGACGATGGGGGCGGGCGCCTTGGCCGGGGCCGGCTGCGGCTCGGCGATGGCTTTAGAGGTCAGCGGGAAGAGGCAGTAGGGGTCGACGTAGGGGTTGCACATCTGGACGGCGGAAGACTTGATTGCGGCGGGCATCACCACGGCCGCCTTTGGCTTGCTGGTGGACTCGGCGATGCATTCTGGGTCGTCGGAGTCGGCGCAGGCCTTGTAGATTTCGCTCAAGTGTTTGAGGTAATGGTTAAAGGAAGGGCCCTCTTCGGTCCTGTGCTTGTTCTGAAGGTACGCCATGTACAGACGGTCCAAATCCTCAACCTATCGAGCACAAAATGTTTGAAAAAAAAATTCCTTTTCCGTCTCATTTTGAAAATTTTGCAAGTCAGGGCTAACTGTAACGAGCTTTTTCAGAGTTTAAAGAATGCCGTCTGGATACATGTGCTGCTCCACCACTTGTGTTCAAATAGCCATTGCTGCACTTATCGATGCAAACCGTTCGCATGTCAATGGCATTTTGCATTGTTTGTTCGTATCACGCTCGGCGGATTTTCCTCAGGCCTTTGCCTTACCAACATGGTTGTTTTGTATATAAAAGGTGTCATTTTGTTTGTTTTATGCTTAATTTGACTTTTTCCAGGCCACAAGGAAACACAGATGCTCACAAAATGTCAAAACTGAATTCTTTAGGGTACCTCACCAAAAGTTGAGTTCTCGTAGCTCTATATTTGTATCACTGAGTAATTTTGGGACACATGTGCTGTATCTTTGAGCAAAATAACGATTCATTTCACAAAACAAAACAACAACAAAAATCCCTGCACGGGAGGCAAAATAATAAATGTGAGCAGCACTCACTCCCTCCTGGTTGTGGCTGTCCATGAAATACTTGTACCAGGCCCAGAAGTCAGGGAGGCGCTGGAACTGGGGCGCCGTCATGACAGGCGCGTTCCTCCTGTGGCGCACCGACTTTCTCAGGTTGGCCATGCCCTCAGCCTTCATGTCATCAGGTACCCCACCAACTGAAAGCACAGCAACAAAACGCATCCGCATGAAGAACAACACTTGCTGGAATGTCATTGAATCCAATTGCGCTTTCAGCGTGTGTATTTCATGTAAAAATGCTCGCCATTGATTTTCATGGATGCATTTACGGCAAAAATGCCGGTTGCGCACATTTGATTTCATCTCATGTCATCATATTGAAAAGCAGTGCGGTGCCACCAAAGAATCCCCCGTGAAAACATCAACGCATCCTCACCTCGGTCCTCCTTGCGCCGCTCCAGTGGGACTGCCCCGAGGAACTCTGTCAAACCCACACAGGAGTCACATTAGCAAGCAACAGGCGCCTTCACTGACAAGGACCAGATGTCGCGCTTTCCCTCCACACGGAAGAAAAAAAAAATGCTGAGCCGCCCAAAAGGGCCCCTCGGGGGTGCAAAACGCGGCATGTGCCGGGATGGCGGCGCCCTGGTAGCACCCGCAATCGCTTTTAACAAGCATCTGTGTGTTTATAAGACAACCGGGGGGCCACCTCCACCTGTAAAACTTCAAAGTATGGGCCCTGACGTCGGCTAATTACCTCTGTGCTGTAAAAGAAAAAAAAAAAGGCCAAAACTGTATGCGGACGTGATGATTGTATGCATTCCCGTGTCCCTCCGCTCCACCGGGGGTTTCCTTCTGAAGTTTCGCACTCGTAAAAGTCAAACAGTCGACTCAGCTGATTGGGGCACCAACTTGGGGTCTGGATATGACTTTTCATCAGCTTTTAAAGCAGGGGAAACTTTCTCTCTACCACAGGCCAATTTGCTCGTCTGAGGGGCCATGTTGCATTTATTATTTAAAAAAAAAAAAAAAAAAGGCAGACCAAACCCTGAAACTACTCTTCGTGCACTTCCATGACATCTCCTTTAGAATGTTAATAACATGTCCCCTTGTGGATAATGGCGCTCTTCATTTCAATGACATGTTTAATAACTTTATTTGATCATATTAAAACACTGATTTCGAACCATGTGAGGCTTTGGGGATTTTTCTAGAAACCTCTTAAAAACGTTTGCACTTTCAGGGGAAAAAAACCCACAAAACGAATTATTTCTTTCATGGATCGTCAAAAATGTTCTCAGTGTGGTAAACATTGGCACCAGAAGAAACAGGAAGTGCAGCTTTCATCTTTTGATGAACACTTACCGAACCTACCGAGCTACTGTATTTTAAATAGTGGTCCTCGGAGAGCAATGAATTTTTGTTTTTTTAGGTGGTTCTTCGGTGTCAAACCTTTGAGAACCACTGAAATACAGAATATGGGGACAATCTTAGCAGAGGTGGCCACCGTCAAGAAGAAATGATTTGAAGAAAAACATCATTTTTCAAAACGGACTTCTTTTTGGAGGGTAACAGTACACCGCACGAATAACTGACAGTGGCAAGAAGCACATTGCATTTTATAGAACCTTTACCATCATAAAACCCACTAAAACCCAAAACGTTCCATTTATCTAATGTGAATTTGAAAGAGTATTTCAAAAAAAGTCTCACCTGGTAAGAATATGATGGCTAGAAGGAATCCAACGTGGATCAGGGAAGGCGATGCCATTCTCGCTTTGAGGCGCTTCCTGTGTGTTAAATGATGACTGTTAACAATCGGACATAGACGTGGATTTTAGCAGGACTTTTGACACCAAGTGTTACTTACCTGCACTGGTGCTGAAGGGGTCTCGTCTCAGTGTCCTCTTCTGCTTGTTGGCCTGAGCTGTCTGGCCCACCTGTGCCTCTTTGCCAGCCGCTATGGCACGGGCAGGCAGGGGCGGCGGTTTTAAGGATGCCTCCCCTACACCCCCCCCCCCCCCGGTCCCCCCCCCCAGGTCATTAAAAACGAAAACGACAACACCACATGGATTGCTGTTAGGTGCCGCCGGATTGGCCGCCGCCCCGACCAATAGCAGCCCTGTCATTAGCAGCCGGGCGAAGCCGGAGGACCTGTATTTCCTGGAAGGTTTTTGCTACTGGTTGATTTTGTACATTTTCAAATTGCACTGATTGTGTGTGTGTGTGGGGGGGGGGGGGCAAAGAGCTGTTAGCTATTAAGTCCACTTCAATGCAGTACACCTCCGTCAAAACCAAGCAAGAACCTTGCACGATGGCAATTATACATGACGGGAATACAAAAGTATTCATCCAGAAGGTCACTTTTTTTCACTAGATCATGAATGGACCGATTACGTTTCCCTGAGGAGTGCCACTCCACACTGTGTCGGATTGATTCATATTACTTTGGATGGATGTTGGAATTGCTGTTGTATCACATTACATTTGAAACCAAGGGTAAGATGTCAAATTCGGCCTTCAATTTTGGGTTAAGGTCTAAAACAGAAAACAAGAAACAAGGCACCGCTGTAATTTGCAGTTATCAAGAGTCACATGCCCTTTTTCTAAAACAAAAACAAAACCCAACAACATGATTTGAGAGCCCGTAAAAGAGCCTCACGCTGTTTGTAAATGAGAAGCTCATGAAAAGACAAGACCCTTGCAAAAAACCATACGGTGCCTGCAAAGAACGTGGAGCACAAAATCAGACGCCAATCTCCTGTAATTTCCTCAACCACGCAAATATACATTTGCCCTTTGTTTTTAAACACATGAACTGAGAGACTCAAGCTGACAAAACCGATTGCATGAATAGAGGACTGGACTTCGAGAGTGAAAATCCCGTTCGCTGCCGAATCCCCAATAACCAGCCAATTGTGCCCCTTAGTGGCTAAGAGCAGTACAGACAATGAAATCAAAGGAGGAATTGGGGTTTGGGTTGCAGTTTCAAATCAGTGACTGACCTAAAGATTAACGCTTCACATACTGCTTTCAAATCCGAATTTGTGTCAATCCCATCTGACTTTGAGTGACAGGTTAATCACACATCCATTAATTCGTACAAGTTGAAGTTGAGGGGTTCGTTGTTGTTGAATGCATGGCTCTACTTTACGAAAAGGAGAGATGGATTCCTGTTCGAACGCAGCTTTATTCAAAGGACGTCTGCGCCGCAGTACGATCCAGAACACACTCTTCTCCGCAACTCAATCACTTCCTGCTTTCCCTTACTTCAACAGCCAATCAGAAGCTATCAACATCAAAACATGTCTAGTCGATTATTAAACAACAACGTAAACTAGGTCATCTTAACATGAAAGAGGAGGATGCTCAAACATAAAATGAGAATATTAATGGAGCAGAAGCTTACACAAGTCACAAGGCGATGAGACGATTTCACACGTTTGTGGTTTCACTGTTACAACAGACCGAAGAGGGAAGACGTAACTCAAGAGTGGCCCACGGCAAAAATGAGTTACACTCTCCTGATTTAGAGCTTTGCCTAAAATTTACAAGGTGCATTTTTGTACTACTGTTGTCACAATGCAATCCTAAATTCTGAATGCAACCCGGCAGTTAGCACATTTCATGTACAACACGAGTTCATCGTATGTATAATTACTAGCCAGGTGTTACTCCGCGCTGGCCGAAGAATCTTTGTGATGTTCAGAATCCCACAACATCTGCAGGCTGAGGTTTAAAAAGCAAGGAAAGAAGATTGTATGTCATTAAGACATGGAAACAAAATGGCAGGTCTGCTTCTTACTCGAAAGAATGTTCAGTCTGGAGGCCCGGACGTTGGGACTCGTACGATCCATCGCGGTCTGTCGCCGGATGTCATCGTCAAAGAACAGGTCCTGGAAATCTGCAAAAAGTGAAAACTGTGAATGTGACATTAGGGCCACGCAGAGAAGAGTTCACGTCTCAGACAGGCAGACAGTTGGTTCATAAAGCAGCAACATAGCATCTTAGCTCCGCTGCTCTCTTTCTCTTGTACGAGTTGTGTCAGAACAATACGAGGACTGGCGTCAAAAAAGCCGTTTCAAGTTGAAGTTTACTTTCAAATTAAACCTGAAGACAAAAGAGGAGAATACGCTATGTATTTAAAACACAAGCGTGAAGCATCTTAATGTGGTGTGATCTCGGTCCTGAGGCGTACACATCAAACAACTCAGACCTAATGGCATCCTCTTTTTGGTTTGTTTTGTTTTTATGAGACTTCATTCATCTACAGGGAGGACGGAAACACAGCCAAAAAGGCATGCGGTGGCGTCTCAAGGTGCCACTGACCCGATGAACATGTTTGTCAAGAGACAAGCCGTCATTTTGGCCATTTTATTTCTTTGTTGTTGTGTTGGCTTGTGATAAAAGACATTTCAACTTGTTTATTGCCACTCCCGGTTGAAGTTTAATGTCAGTCTAAACATAAAACAAAAAGAATGATACTGTACCTTGTGTATTTAAAAATCAAGCCTTTCAGTCTGCTAGCTGGACACAAACACAAAATATCATCTTTGTTGTGGTCCGATAACGCAATGAATTGGATATGTTTTCTGTGACGACCCTAAACTTCACCCTTGATGCATTCCAAAAACTAACAAGAGCTCACATGAATTGAATTTCAAAGGTTTATTCGTTGTAATTGGCAGCTTTGTGTCACCGGTTTAGGCTCTAAGCATGTGGCAGATGACAAAAGAACGAGTTCAGTAGATTGCAGAGAAGCAACAATATAACTCTTACTTGAGTTTGGGGTTTAAGCTATCGTGTTTCTTTTGCTGTTGAAACGGAAGCAGCGGTTCAGTGCAACCACGCGGCTATATTGCATTCATTTCTTTTATAAGAGCCGGTCATCGCTCCAGGGCGCGTCTTTGTCGCAGCCCTGCTGCTTGGTGTCAATCATGCGAATCACGTCGATGCTGTTGTCGGCGAAGGTCTCCTTGGCGCTGTCAATGGTCGACTGGGGCAGGTTGCGCGTGCGGCTCAAGATCCAGGCAAAGTCCAGGTGGAAGAGACGCAGGATGTCCGTGCAGGAGTACACCAGCGCCGTGTTCACGTAGTCGGTGGACAGGATCCAGTAGGGGGAAAACGGCAGCACTGAAGGGTATAAGATGCACGTACGAATGCAATAGGACCTTGAGATGTGAATTCAAAATGTTACACAAAACGCTCATTTTTCAAATCATACTTCTCTATCAAAATAAATGGAAATACCACTTTTCCCTCGCAGCCTCCACCCCAGAAAACAAAATTACACTCCACCATACTGTAGTGTATAACGTTTTTTTTTGGAATAATAACAATTAAATTGAATGAAAATGGGTCGGGTGATATTGTCTATCGACATGTGTTGCAGCACCATTTGTGTTCAAGTATCTGATGCTCAAGGAGTTCTGAAACGGTGACAACCGTGAGCCTGTCAACAGTGCATGTTTCAAAAAGGGCGATCAAAGATTCCCTCAAGCTCACCGTACGAGTAGCTAATTCCAAGTTTGGCAGGGTTCTTCAGATCCTCAATGACGCCGGTTCCTTCGATTTTCCTCACCTCTCCTTTCCTGTGGCTCAAGACAATGCTTTTTGTACGTCAGGTACTTTTATCATCATAATCACCATTTTCTTTTTTCACTCACAGTATTTCCGAGCTGACCACGCGAATGGATTTGTCTCCTCTGAATGTAAAATTGGTCTCGATGCAGCGGCCCCTCTCGAACTGCGTCGGCAGCCTGGCGATTTCAAACCACCTCCCCATGAACTGCAACGGGCGTAAACGATCATTGTTTTCATTGGATGGAGTTGATCGTTGATTCATCGCATCAATGTGGAGGGAGGTTTGAATTTGCTGCCTAAAGAAGTACACAACCTGAGCATGACCTCGACGCGGGTGGTTTCTTTCCTCTTTGGGGCATTCTGAAAAGATGCTACTCCTTATGATAGTAAGAAATTGTCATAACTATTAGACAGTCAATATCAGAGGTGGGCAACTACGGTCTTCAAGGGTCCCTATTCTGCACGTTTTAGATGTTTCCCTCCTCTGAGAGGATAGCATTAGATGTCAGGGCTGAAGAAGGGGTTGGGCGGAGAGAGAGATGCTAGCCACCTAGCTAGCCAGCTAGCTAGATCGATAGATAGATAACCTGTTTGAGGTTGAAGGCGGGTTGAACATCGGGTTCTGGACACGGACCCCAGTGAGGCACCTGAGCTCTGACAAGAGGCAAAATGAATGCCGTCAGTGCCCAAAACAGCTTCATGGCGAGCTTCACCTTTGATACCTGACACAGATGAACAATTTCGCTATTAAACCAGACATATGAACATTTGGGCCATTTAACAGTCAGATGCTTGGAATTGATTATTTGTAATGCACTCAACATTTGGGATTCCTCTATAAAAGAGAGAGAGGATCATAATTACATTGACCGCTTACAAATTTGCTTCAAATGTGTTTTGCCTAATCATTACAAATCAGACCATATCGGTATATGGAGACATTTATTGAAGCAAGACAATCTGGTTGTGGTCATCGACAGCCGTTGTGTTTCTAGATTGGATTGTTTTTCATCAAGTGAAAATGTGAACATTTTACTGGAGAAAACGCTCAATGTCTGTGTGTTCTAAGTATAGTTGGGGGGTAAAAAAAAAAAACCCATTTCGCTTTGATTTCGTTTTGATTAAGTGAGCATAACAAACAATATGAATGATCAAAAACAAGTGGCAGTCATCTCCAACTGTGCTTTTTCTCATTTTTGCCATCATTTTGTTCATCACTCAAAGCGCTTTGTTTGCTTTTCTGTGAAAGAAATGGACGACAAGACATTCAATTCACAAATAAGTCCAAAATAGCATTTCGAAATAATTGTAGGCTAGTTTGTGTGCGTAATTCTGTTGATGACAAAACCAAATTATGAACAGGTAAAGCGTGAGTTCTTACCTCAGAGGTGGTCAGACAGAAGTGTGACAGCGAATGAGATTTGGTCCACAGTGCGCTTCTGAGTCGTCAATGGTGCCTTTGTGCTGGGGCCTTCACTTTATTTCAGACTTGAAGTCAACGATTATCAAATTGGAGTCATGGGGGACATACCAGCACGTGTTATAAAACAACCTTGATTGGGCCGCTGTTGTGCCACACATGCAGACATTTCTCTGAAAGCTAAAGTTTTATTTTTTAAATGATAGTGCATTATACATAGCTCAAACATTTTATAGCACGTGGACAAAATCTCAAGCACAGAGCGCTTTTGAAGGACCCCGGAAATGGTGACAATCTCTCTAAAATGTCCGCTTCAAAACGAAAAAAGCAGAATACATGCGTCTTTTCAGGCATGGGGTCTTAGGACTTTTAGTTTGGGTCTACCAGTGCCGAGACGATTCTTCCTGGGCTTCACTCACAACACTAAGAATTTCTGGAGGGAACGCGTTCCAGAAGGAGATGGCTATTACAAAAATAAATAGCATTTTTCTGACAAACTACAGCATCTAGCTAGGCGGCCATTTTGTAGTGTATCACTCTCCTCGTTCGTCAAGCACGGTGAAGCTAATCGTCCTCAACCTTTGGCAGCATTTTCCTGCTCTATTCTGATGACAACAGCATGTTCTTGAATGTGCCGCCACTCAGATTGGAGGCTTATTTTTGGGATTATTCAACCTAAACAATAAGCTCACAGTCAAGACCTAAACAAGATTTGATCAAGACGTAATGCTTCCACTTGAGCAGGATTAGGCCGCAGTGTGAAACGTCCGGATGGCAGATTGTAGCTGTAATTAGAAGAGGACCGAGCAGAAAGAGTGTCTTGTTTGTCAATTTATAGCCAGGGAGGTTAAACCCGCCGTGATCCCTTTGCCTCGCTGTGACTCTATAATGCTGCGTACAAACAAGATGGACAGAAATCCCCCATAAAAAGCTTATGTGACCCACAGATTCCTAAATGACCAGTTTAGAAGTTTTTAAGTCCTAATGCTTAATTCCAAAGTCCTTTATGAGGCATTTTAGAGCGCAAAACGGCGCTAATAATGCTTGTAATTGGCTCCCATTTCCTGATCGATTCTGATTCAATGCCTTTCCGATTTCTCTGTGAGAAAGGGTTTACGATGGGTACTGCGTGAAAGGCGCAGGCCAATAAAAATGGACTCTACCGAGATGCCTCCGATGCGCTAATTCAGCAGAATTTCTGTGAAAGACGCTAATGTTTTCATCTATCCAGTGCACACCGATCAATTATTGAATGCTAGTGAGGCGGTTATTAGCATGTCTTCATTCACTGGGTTCCGTGTGAAAGGCACAGGCAAACAAGGTGAGGCTATTTGCATGCATTCATTTTCCCCCTACTTTGCTGCGTGAAAGGCAGAGACAAATACTGTTCATGCCAAATTTGTGGCTACTTGGCACGAAAGAGTCATAATGAACCGTTGCCCAATACTCAAGTCTATTGAGGGTATTAGAGTGCAGGGTATTGTCTCCCTTCGCTGGGTTCTGTGTGAAAGGCACGGGTAAAGAAATGGGGATTCTGCTGTTCTACGAATGTGGAAACTCTGTATGAAAGAAGCGAACGACTTCATCAAGCCACTGCAGCCCGACAACCAATTCCTGAAGGCCATTGGGTCTCGTCACCCTCCTTCATTCGTCCATCTTGACTGCGTTCTGCGGGTACAGGTCAACATGCCTCAGAGCGCAGACCCCTGCGAGTAAGCGGCCGCTGAGCACAAACTGTCAGCTTAGGAGGTCTGAGTGGTTGATCCAGCCAATTTAGATGGAACGCTAACAAATGACCACCAAGCATGTTTGGGTGAAGACGCCGGCACCCCAGTGAGAGCAACGCTCCACGGGGAGGGGGGGAAAAGAAAAAAAAAAAAAAAAAAAGCACAAATAAGACTTATGGAAGGATTTTCCAAGCGTTGCGGCATCAGGCCTCTGAGCGGGAGGTCTTTGCTTATTTTGCCGGTGCAAAAAGGGAGCTAAGCATTTAGGTGTCTTAACTATGGCCTAAAGTGCTAACAAGGGATTAGTGAGGTAAACGTCCAAAGAGGTTTAACGCTTAAGGAGCAGTGCTGCTTCAGTAATTACACATGAGTTTTTTTTTTTTTGCAAGGTGCGCCCGGGCAATTGGACGGGGGAGATCACGGTGATGTCAGGACGAGGGAGGGCTTACCGCGGCGGATAAGGCCCGCTAATGGAGATGAAAGCAATCGGTATTTAAAAGGTCTTTTTTAGTTAAGGCAGTTAGGCTGGCAGGCAGTTTGCCGGTGTGGCGGGAAGCCCGGGAAAGACTTGACGCTTCCTGTCGGACGCTCGAGGCCTTTTTCGCTGACATTTTTATATATTTTTTGAATTCATTCTCAACTGAAACAAAGATCCCCTCGCTGGATTTTCAAGGTGAGTCCTGACAGATTCGTAAAAGTAATCACATGACGGGATGCTGCGCAATGTTAGTTTGAACGGCGCCAGCGTCCATTTCATGAAATGAAGCTTTACGAGGGAGAGCGACCATATTTGCTCACTTAAACTTGAGTCGATTGACGCAGGATAAGCGTGTGACTACTCCCAGCCAATCGGCAAATGAAGAAAAAAATAATAAAAAAATTATATATATAGAGATATAGAGATATTTTGGGTGGGGCGGGGGTGTATGATTTAAAACGTATTGTTGAATAATTTTGGAGAGAAAGGATAAAGAGCATATTTGGTGACAAAGTGAAAACCACCAGCCAACCAATCAGCAAATGTAAAAAAGAATATTGGAAATATAATTTTTAAATATATTTATATATAAAGTTTTGGGGAGGTGCCCTTTTTTTCCATATTTTTTTTATTTTTTTAACTTTTGAGGCCAAGGTAACCTTTGGTAACTTTAACATGAGTCCAAATGGCCAAATGAAAGCCTATAGAAGCATGTTGATTTCTCCCAGCCAACTATCAAAATTCAATGAAAATGTGATTTTATTTTATTTTTTTCTTCAATGTACACGGTACATTTTTCTATTTTCATTGTGTAGGACAAGTGACCACATTATGGAGGGTTTGCCATATTGTTTACCTAGCGAGCAGTTTTAGGCCTTGACCCTGCTTAAATTGTTCAGTCAGTGCTTACCACTGACAAGCTGCGTATAATGGAATTGTCCATGTGTAACTGAGAGTATGCCAAGCTTTAGTGTGCGTGCGTGCGTGCGTGCGTGCGCACGCGTGCGTCGTAGGGGAATAAGAAGGGGCGAGACAATGTCTGATATGACCTCCTCTAAGCTGCAGCTAAATCGTCAGCAATTTTTCTCTTTAATTCATTCTTGTAATGGGATTACGTTTGCAACGGTAAATCCCAAGGAGTCCAATCCCCCACTGCGCATTAGGCAGCCGCCTGTCGCCCAAATACTTTGCGCGCTCACCTTTCATTTGGGTATTCTCTTTCGAAAATAACAACGTTTCTGACAGGGGGCGAGAATTGCTCTCCAAATGTTCCGACCTCCTGTTTCCATGGCAGCATTGAGAAGGAATTGACAGCGCCGGAGCCTGTGAGTTTAGTCAATATTAATGCATGAATGACTTGGTTCATTACTAAGCAACAACAAGCACTGTACATATTATATAGATTCTAAATAATATGTACAGTGCAGTATATAAACGAGGTGGTTTATCAATACCATAATCACTTTTTTTCATTTTATTTGTGAATTGCTATTATTATTTTCATAAATAATCTGATCATATTCTCCCTGGATGTTCTGAACGCCTTTTAAGATTGCTCTGACACCCTGAGTTTGGAAAAAAAAAATGATGAAAATAGGAAGCATTTGAAAAAAATGTGTGTGTACTTGAAATTATTTAAATTACATATTTATTCAACTGCTCATGAAATGTTATGCTGCTTTTGACAAAATAGCAAAACCGACACATACATTCAATAATTTTCAAAATACTCTTATTGAGTGGTGATTATTATTATTATTACTCTTATTTTTGTGTTCTAGTTTATCTTTTCATTCATTATTTGTGAATCTAAAGTAAATGTACGAATAATATTATTAAATGTCATTTATGAATCCAATTTAGATTCATTTGCCTGGCATTCATATTGTTTTTTTCCTTCATTATGTGTGACATAATTGCCATTTCAACACCACAACTATCGAAACGACCCAAAATAATCCCCCGTTTATTCTGAACTTCCACTGAACCAGAATTAAAAGCACCTCTCATTTAAGATCGCTGTGATCGGCCGTGGGTTCATGAAACAATAATTTGTTGGTATCCGTATTGATTTTTTTTTCAATTGTTGTTGACCAAATGTGGCAGGATTAACACAACTCGAATGTTTAACTCTCAAGATAATCCAATAAGCCTTAAACAAGCGAAATGCGTTTCCTCACAGCGCCCCATTTAGGTATCGACTGCACATGAAATGACATGACTGACTACACGCGGGACGCCTTTGACGATGGCGAGGAAAAAAAGGGACGCAGGTGTGTTGCGGTGCCCACATCGCACGACCTAAACCGATTGTGTCCCCCCATATTTATCCCTGAGGTGTTTTTAGGCCAACCTGGATGCTAATGGAGGCTAATAGGCTTAGCACTCAGGGTGTATTGTCCAGGATGCTTACAGGCAAGGTTTGCTGGGGGTAAAACTCTAAACGTGAGGATTACCTCCGACACATCCCGTTAAAGTGCTTTATAGCCACAACTTAGCTAATAGGATCCTGGGGGAAGTGTGGGAGACTTGGGTGGGGGCGCCAGGGGGAAGGAAGGTGGAGATGCGATTGGGATGAGGGTGGGGAAGGGGTCGGAGGGGGCGGGTAGAGCGATGGGGTCAGCAGATGTAGCTGGCAGACTGTTGCGGGACTACCTGGGGGGATTACAAGGCTATCAGATAAGATGCTTTCAGAGGGAACTTGAGAGGCTGTCATCATACACAACGTTAGGGGGCAGGGGGGGGGCAGCATGACAGAACAGTAAATATACGTGATGTAAGTGGGTAAAGGTCAACACTGAGTCAAGTCGAGCGCGGATGATGATATTCTCATCATGTTGATTGCGGCTCTGTGGTCAAAACTCATTCACCGCCAGCCCGCCGTAAAACAACGGAGCTTTTGACCTCTATAGCCGTCATTGGCGGTGAATGAGTTTCGGCGCTATTTTAGAACGGCATTCGTACGCTAAAGGATTTCAGTTTATAAGGCTGAGTGGGCATTTAGGAGATGGACACACTAGATATGGAAGATGAATGCTTATTAGATCAGGAATAAGACACTGGCAAAAGAGTGAAAAGGTGAGTGGCATCGATCGCTGCGTGCTTTGAATGGGGTGGCAGTGGCGTCTGATGGCTGGCTATAAAAATTGTGTATTTCGGAATGTGGCGATGCTGCTGAGCTGCATGCAGAATATCAAACTTCCTTTCATAAAAAGGGCAGCCAGAAATGTTTCAGTCGGGCAGATCGGCTGACAGAATAACTCACTTCGGGGTGGCGCGTGCGGATTCACAAATCAGTGAATCAGCGCGAGCTCGCACTTACGGCCAGACCGTAGTGAGTCATGATCTCACGGCTCATACTGCCCACCTCGCTGAAGGATTGCCGTCTCTGCTAGTGCTAACAAAATACAACGGTATGGAAAAAGTCTGACATTAAAAACATCCAAATGTAAATAAGAATAACGCTATGCACAGGAAGAACTGCAACGTTGGCATTTCCACATACCTGAAAAACTGTTTTCTTTTCATCAAAAAGTACAAGTAACACGATGCTCATTGGGACATTATTTTTCCGTATTCCTAATTTCCAAACCCTCTTTTGTGGTTTGTCTCGCGTTTTCTCTAGCATCCTCGTGGTGGCTGGGGGAGCGTAAGATGACCCCTCGCGAGCAGCTGAGGAAGATGACGGCACTGGGAGAGCAAGGAGCTTTGGATGAGAAGCACTGGTACCGCCTGGTCAACGGCATGTCAGCAAACGGTAATAAAGGAAGAAAGGAAGCATTTGGGATTTTTTTTTTGATGGAATTCTGGTGACCTAGTGTGTGTTTTTGTGTGTGGAAAAGAGCTGAGACAGAGGCAGGAGCTCATGATGAGGAACCAAATGGCCATGGCGCCACAGATCCTCACCCAGGGTCAGCAGAGGTTACAGGGGGTCCCGACCCCGTTCGAACCACGATTCATGGAAAGGTTCGGGAGGCCGCCACTAAGATTTGGATGACCTGATCACTTTTGGAGCCACCTAGTCAAAAATGAACCTACCTCCTCTCACAGGGAGTTAGTCCAGCCAGCTGAGATGGTAGCTCCGGATGGAAGGCAGATGCACATGGGACCTCACCTGGGCCCTCCTCTGGCACCACATGCTGGCGTCCTCCCGGGGAGAACCTTTCCAGGAGCGGGTATGAACACACACACACACACACACACACACACACACACACACACAGTTTGCAGTCAGTGGAGGTGTATTGTTAAGGTAAAGTGTGTGATGTTTCTCTTCACTTCAGCTGGCTACGGCTTCCTACCCTCAGAGCCCATGGAATCGGCCGCCCGGCGACAGGAGCTCATTCACAAGCAAAACATGGCCAGGTGAGTGTGTGCTCAGTAACTGACTCGAGATTCAACCGAGTACGGTAAAACTGAAATGCGTGTGGCGGATGGCGCGGGATGCTGGCAAGAAGGCGCCCAATTCTGAAGTGAGTTGTATCAAGATCCGGGTCTTGTCCCTGTGGGTCATCCGCCTCGCTAGGGTTGTTAATATTCAAATGATGGGTCAGGTCAGTGAATGGTCGGCATCTCAAAGAGACTCTGCACTGTTGGATAATCACCAAGGAATACTCTTTGGCAAGAAGCACCCCAGATTCATATGGAGGTGTCTTCAGATCTGGGTCTGGTCACAGGGTGGCCGCCCATTTGGTCAGGATGGTCAACTCCGTCGCAGCTCCTCTTGACGAGGAGGATTAGCAGACGTTAATCCGAAGCCCTGTCGGGCGGCCAAGACCAAACACCTCGTCAAAAAGAGGCTCGCTTCTGTGGCTTGTGTCCACAGTCTTGTTCAGTTGGTCACTAACCCAAAGATTGTGACCTGTTCTTGACTCTCTCTCACATTGTCAGGGTCTTGACTTGGTCAAAACAAAGCAAAGTCTTGGCTTTAACTTCGTTCACGCGGTTTTGACAACAACATGAACAGAATAATAAATACGCCAATAGCACCACTCACACTGTATCACAAGAGACACAGTTGTACGTCTTGTGAACTGGTTCGGAAAGTCCAAGTCCATTTTATTACCCTGCAAAGAGTGAGAGGCCTTTGTTCTCAGAGGAGGGAATCTAGACCAAATGTAGACCTCACGGAAAAGTTCATCTTGTGTTCAGAATGGAGATGAATGCCATCCTGCATCAGAAAGAGCTGGAGAACGCCCACCAAAAGGGTCTGATGGGCATCGAGAACCCCATGTCCTACCCTTCCAACCCCATGACCTTCAGAGGTCGCCAGCGCATGCCGGACGGCCACGACGTCTTCGTCCACCGGCCCACCCTGGACGAACTCCACTCCAACAGCATCCTCATGACGGCCAACCCTTACCCCCCGATCGGCACGCTGCACAGAGAGCGGGGCCGCCGGGTGGGCAGGCGGCCCGCGGCCCACAAGAGCGCCGACCACCCTGCCGGTCACGTCAAGGGCCCGGCCGAGGACAAAAGCGTGGAGCAGAGTCCGGGGGGCGCCTCCGGAGGGGAAGAGAAAGAGGCGGAGGTGAAGGGGGAGGGGGGAGACGAGTGCTCTGTCGGCAAGGCGCACCGCCCGGCCAAAGTGGATTCTGAAGCGGCGACGGGAGGCAGGAAGTCCTACAAGGAGGGCGAGGTGGGTCTGCGTAAGGGCGGCGCTCCAGACCAATGTGTGGAATCCAGCAACAGTGGAGCCAGCGAAAAGGAGGCCCCCGGCCAGTGTGCCACCTTCCCGGAGAAGTTCATGTATCCCCCAGGGGGCATGCCTTACATGTTCCCCGTTGCCGGGAATGGCTTTCTACCACCAGGTGCGTTTGGGGGGGAAAAAAGACCAAAAAAAAGCTCTGTTGCAAGGAAACAGATGTGACAATATTTCCATTATAGTGGCCACAGTTTACATTTTGTAGTTTGGCGTCGTTTGTGACTGAAACTTATTGCTGTTCAGGTCCACCTAATGTCTTCCTAAATGGCGATGAGGTGTCTGAGGACATCAGGAAATGGAGCGTCAACGACGTTTATAACTTCATCAACAACATTCCCTCCTGTTCGGAGTATGCTCAGGTGGGTGGGTGTCACGCTTTGCCTTGCCGTCTTTTCCATTCAATTGTGTCACGCTGAACAAAGAAAACCGTTTGATTGTGCAGACATTTAAAGATCACGTGATTGACGGTGAGACGCTGCCCCTCCTCTCAGAGGAACATTTGCTGGACACACTGGGCCTTAAACTTGGGCCAGCTCTCAAAATACGCTCTCAGGTAATTTCATGGCATGGATATGGTGTGTGTCCTGCACTCCATTTAACAGGTGGAAATGAAATCATCATGCAATTTTTTAAAGTCAAATTAGCATAATACACCAAAAAAATGGCTGGATAACAGTTTTATTACCTTTCTTTGCTGAATAGCTGGGTGTAACATTCAGGACCACTTCAATGTGATTCCTTGTCCTGGAAAGAATAACAAAACAAGTCGCACAACAGTACAGTTCTTAGTCGGCTACAAATCGAAACAACTAACCGATCTAGCTTGTGACCGAACACACTCTCTCAACCAACAGGTGTCGAGGCGCATGGGCAGCATGCTGTACATGATGAACCTCCCGCTCCCCGCCGGCCCCCTGCAGGCAGCCCCCGACAAGCCTGGGGACCATTCGTCAGAGCTGGGCTCCCCGGTGAACTGCAACAGCGAGGAGATGATGATGATGGCGGCGAGTCCTCGGGAGGCCGCCGACATCCCCAAACCCGCCGAGCACCTCTGCGAGCCGGACAACTGTTCCCCGCGTGCGAAAGAGTTAACCACTGAGCCCATGTGAACACTCTGGCAGCAGTGGTTTAAGATGAACATAGGTCATGTGGAGCGACGTCTGCAACCACGTCACTTGACAATGTTGCGTGTGTCCATGTTTGTGGGGTATATGCATTACAAAAACGTCACACAAATAGGCAAGCTGAAAAGTTCTCCTGCTGGAGTGATTGATCTACTGTATTTATTTATGCAGTGTCATTGGAATTTGACACAACTTTTTTATTGGTTTGAATGGATTGTAAATAAAGTGTGTCTGGTTTGTCCTTTACATTGGAAGCAATGATGTTCACTTAGGCTGATTTATTGTTATCGAAAGACACCATGTTGGCTCATTCCAGATGTTAGAAAAATATAATACAGTGTTGCCTTGAGATATACCGGTAGTGTGAGTTTAATTTGTTGCATTACCGCACTCATATTTTTTTACCGAATTTAACAAAAACATGGTTACAGAAAAAAAAGCATACTGTAAATGTGGCTTGGTGCACGTTAGCTACTTTGGCGCTAACGTGCTTAACTAGTATAGATGCTATGATATACATTTGATTTCAAAGAGAATACTCAAAATCAGAGTGAATTAATGATTTTTTAAACGATTTTCTCTTTGACATTTATTTAATTCATTTTATATGTCATAATTTGAACTGTAATATGCACTATTTAGCACGCATACAAAAAGTACCTTTCCTCCTCCAATTTGGCGTTCGCGTTCGAAGTCTCGCGATACTTGACGCGAGCTCTGGCTCGGTAGATTCTGAGCTGTGAGCGATCATGGCGGAGCGCAGAAGACACAAGAAACGGATCCAGGTATGATGATTTTTCTTTGCCCTCCTCTACGGTTGTAGAACCTCAGCCGGGGGCGCGATGGAGTGCGCCCGCCTCTCGTCGACTCGCGAGCCCGCTCCAATCCCGTGTGTTGCCGGCTTGGCGAAGCTAAGTGATGCTAACGTGGCTAAGTTAGCTTGCGTTACAACTACATTAGAGTCGTGCTGCTCGGCTGAAATGTGACTTGAAACGCTGTCTCCGCGCTTAAACACACATTGATCCACCCATCATCATATATATAATCCATTCTAGATCAATTTACCGTCTGGCGTGCCTCATCTCCGCCCAAGTGGGATGTTTCATGGCTGAAGCCACCTCAGCCAGACTCTAATGCGCGACGTGTTTACATAATGCGAGGAGGTAACATGTGGCACTGCGTTGTCATTTAGTGCAATCTGTCAGATTTCAGAACGGACTAAAGAAAGCTGAAAATAATTATCTATTAATTTGATCATCGATTGGTTGTCAATTAATTGTTGGAACTCTTAACGACATTAATGGTTGATGAAGAGCGAACAAAGGCGCTTAAGGCGTTGGGATGTATTGTAGTTTATTGCAATATGATTGAAAATAACAATAAAAGTAAATACTTCTGGAACATATTTCAGTCACTAAAAGTGCTTGAGCTAGTGGGTGCACAGCATCCGCGCGCACACACACACACACACACACACACACACACACACACACACACACACGAATGATCACAATTTGACCATCTCTGCCTCAATTTTATCCGGGAAAAACTCGGTTATCTATTCTAGCCATTTTGTAAATGTACAGTTACATAATGTGTACTGTTGGCATGTAATGAGCGGTAACGTAACCCTCAAATCGCACAACACTCAATATTGACACTGTCGATCAAAAGCGAACATTATTGTGTGTATGCGCGTGTGCGTGCAGGAGTTGAGCGAGCCCACCAAGGAGGAGAAGGCGGTGGCCAAGTACATGCGCTTCAACTGTCCTGCAAAGTCCACCAACATGATGGGCCAGCGAGTGGACTACTTCACCGGTAAATTCATCCTCAAAGCCGCAGTGACAGCAAACCAAATGGGCATTTTCAGCCAATTGGAGGCCAGAAGAAAGAAATTTCCCGGAAAATGTTCAAAAAAATTACCTGTTTTTGTGTTGATTTTTTTCTCCCCATGCGCCAGCTTCCAAGGCGGTGGACTGTTTACTGGACTCGAAGTGGGCCAAGGCCAAGAAGGGCGAGGAAGCGCTCTTCACCACCAGAGACTCGGTGCTGGACTACTGCAATAGGTACTCAAACCTAGCCAAGAGCCACACCACATGCGGAGTGTAGAATTAAAACACGGTTAAGTCACATTGTGTCCTTTCCTCGGCTGCTCAGGCTCCTCAAGAAGCAGTTCTTCCACCGAGCGCTCAAAGTGATGAAGAAGAAGTCTGAGAAAGACGCCAAGAAGGACAAGAAGTCCAAGGGTGACAGTGGCAAGGAGGAAGACAAAAAGGGGAAGAAGGACAAAGACAAGAAGAAGGAGGTGACGGATGCTGGTGAAGCCAAGAAGGACAAGAGTGTACGTTGGATGGATTCCTTCTGATGTTGCTCGTATCTCAAGGCGGTTTTTCATTTGCATTGCACAGCATTGAAGTTGTCATCGACAGTGACCGATGTCCGTGTTCTGGTTGCAGGACGACAGTCCCAAGAAGAAGAAGGAGGTGAAGAAGAAGTTCAAACTGGAGCTGCACGAGGAGCAGCTCTTCCTGGACGGAAACGAGGTCAAAAGACGTGTGTCACCTGGGTGACCGTTCATTTCATCAAACATTTTTTTCAAATCCTAATCTCTCCTCTTCAGGTCTATGTGTGGATTTACGACCCCGTCCACTTCAAAACCTTCGCCATGGGGCTGGTCCTGGGTCAGTTTGCACCGCGTGCTCATCTCTTCTACCCATTAAATGTCTCCACGAACCTTTGAACACGTTGTCGCCATCCATCGTCAACAGTGATTGCCGTGATCGCCGCCACGCTCTTCCCGCTGTGGCCAGCAGAGATGCGCGTGGGCGTCTACTACTTGAGCGTGGCAGCCGGCTGCTTCGTGGCCAGCATTCTGCTCCTCGCCATCGGTAAGAACGCTCGCCTCGCTCTCATTTTCCAGCCGCCGCCAGTCTAGAAAAAGAAGGAAAAGGAGGTGGAAGTGCACCACAACCACTGCATCGGGGTTGCCACGGTGGCACCGAGGTAGAACGCACACCTCTACCGAGACGAAATGGTCTTCAATTGGTCTGAATTCAAAATGAAACTTGCCTCTTTGGAATGGAGAAATGCAAGCATGCTCACTTGACTCTGCTGCCCCCACGTGTATGAAAACACTTACTGCAGGGCTGCTGATGAAAATACAATCACGTAGCCTATCAATCAATATACTGTCTTCTTCAAACCGTAGGAAAATATTATTTCTGTGTAGTTACTTTAGGGGGGGGGGGTTGCAGTATAAAATCCAACAAGCTATTTGACATTGTCTGGTTTTGACATCTTGCGTCCACTCACCTTTCGAACTGCTTTTCTGTCCTGCCGACGTTTCCTCTGCTCTCTCAGCTCGCTGCATTCTCTTCCTGCTCATCTGGCTGGTGACGGGCGGGCGTCACCACTTCTGGTTCCTGCCCAACCTGACGGCCGACGTGGGCTTCATCGACTCCTTCCGCCCCCTCTACACGCACGAGTACAAAGGCCCGCGAGGCGGCGGCGCCGGCAAGAAGGCCAAAGAGGACAAGGACGCCGGCGGCGCGGACGAGGCCCGCAAGTCGGACAGCGAGAAGAAGGACGAGGAGGAGGAGGACGACGAAGAGGACGACAAGGAGCGTAAAAGCGGCGAGGAGGAAGAGGAGGAGGAAGAGCGCCGCTCGGACACGGACAGCGAGCGCAAGGAGGAGGAAGGATCGCAACACAGCAACGGCAACGACTTTGAGATGATCACCAGGGAAGAACTGGACCAGCACACGGAAGAAGATGAAGATGAAGACGAGGAAGACAAAGAGAAGGAGGAGCGCAAAGACACTCAAATCCACGTGGCTCAATCATAAACTCCAAAAGAGGAATCCCGTCGCGCTCTGCTGACTGTCTGCCCCGCACAACTCATCTGCCATCCTTTCCTGCGTCATTTCTCCTTCGGGTTGCAAAACTCTTGGGATTTTCCAAATGGGAAACTTTTCGCGTGAATTAACGGTAATAAAGCAAGAATTTATCAAATGTACGTTTGGCTCTTAATAGAGACCTTTAAACATAGTTAGGGGCTAATTAAAGTAATTTAATGCCCTCGCATGTGGGCAAGGAGAGCTATCTATTCTACATGTCTGCTTATGACATATTTACGCTTGAATGCTTTATGGAATCATGAAATTACCTTCAATTCCCATGGGATAGTTTCCAGTTTGGAATACGTTATTTCCAAAATTCCCCTTCTTAACTTCCCCTGGAAATTTACCAGAATTTCAACCCCCGCCTCCCCCCCAAAAAAACAGGTCAGCCACTCAGCGAGGGCCAAACTCAGCGAGGTCAAAAAGAGAAGCCTCTTTTTTTGTGTGTGACATCGCGGCCCACACCTGATGCGACAGAGAGGGACCAAACCTTTTTTCATATTTGTTTTGTTTGTAAAGGAACCTAAATAGGCGTGCAGAGATTCGCCAAGGTGAACTTGATTTTTTTTTTTGTGGGCGTGGTCAACTAGATGGCAGTCAAGTTTCAAAGCAAAAGTCCACTTTCAAAATGAAAGGTGCCAAACAACACCAGGAAGTGTGATGAGAAACAGTGCATGCCACCCAACAAACCAATGAGCACAGTGCGCTAGTGTTGAGGAGGATCACATTTTGAATTGTATCATTTATATTTTACCAAGGAGCAGGAGGGCACACAAGAGAACCAAATTACACCACCAAAAATATTTTGAGGCGAGGAGGCGTCCCAGTGTTACAAAAAACAACTTTGCAATGAAGCCTAATCTTACACGAATAAAGTTTTTTTTTTCTCTTCTAAAAAGCTGTAATTGTTCAAGATTAAAGTTGTAATAATACAGAAATCAAACTGCAATTTCTGCAAAACAAAGGCTAAATATTCGGAGAACAAAGTTCACATTTTTACAAAGTGCCGTGAAGAAAGGATCATCGTTTCGGTGGTCACATGTAAAGTAAATTATAACCTTTACACTTGTAACATTGTGACTTCATCCCGGATTAATTTATTTGTTTGTTCTCATAAGAAATATGTTTAACCGACTTTATTTTCCAAAAATGAAAAAGAACACCGATTGTCATTCTGACTTTATTCTGTTAAGGTTCTGACTGGTTGAAAAAGTTGTCGTGGTCTCATTTTGTTATTCGCGTGGCCCTCCTACTTCTCGGGAATATTTGGATCTATGAGCTCTAAATATGCATACCGTGTTTGCAGTCCATGTAACTGCTTCTTTGCGTCTTCTCTATTATTAGGAGGTGTTAAATATATTTGAATATTCCCCTACCTGCCACCATGTTTGTTTAGTTTTTATACGACTTCAAGTCAAAATAACCGTAGAAACATCTCCATCTGCTGCTTTTTTTTGCCCCTTTAATTTATTCCATTCACTTTTTTCCCCATTTTCTGTCTCATATAGTCATCATTTGTGTTCCCTCCACTTGCTCTTGTACAATGTAGTATATGATATTAAAATGACTCTCCAGATGTCAATGTTTTCTCTCTCCTGTGTCCTCTGTCTGCCTATAGTTGTTCACGTTCGATTCTCATGCAATATTGGAGTATAATTTAATAATAAAACAAATAAGAATAATAGATGTCTTGAAATATCTTATTGCAATAAAAACAGAGAAAGCACCAGTAAGTGTTTGAGCTTTATTTTTGTTTTGAAGCCGCCATTTTGGACCCCAAACTACACGACACTTTTCAGATCAGTGATTCCCAACCACGGTGCTCTACAAAATGTACTCATTCACCCTGACTGGTTGGACAAGTATTTACTTCAAACAAAACATTTTGCTCATCTATCCCGGGCAGAACAAATAGAGGAGGAAGGTTTTGCCACTCGATAACAGAAGGTACAAAGAACGTGTATACGGTGTGAATCTCACATATTCACAGTTCTGCAATGACAAATGTGCATGTTTTTTGGGGGAGCCAATTCTCAAAATTACTGTATTCCGATTTTGGGGGCCGGGGGGAGCAATTGAAGTAATACTTTGGCGCCATCTGGTGGAATCTACTTAAGGTTTAATTCATTGATAGTATTTTTCATCTCAACTGGCATCAGGCAAATCCTTTAGGCACGTGTGCCAGCAAATACGACCGATGAAGCTCATGTGAAGATGGTTTGTTTGTGCTGCAGAACTTAACTACTGAATACAGGAGTTTATGTAACACTGGTTCATGATTTTATATATATATACTTTGGAAGCAGGATGTCGATGCTTTATGAGCGTCTCAGTTTTATGTGCTTTGGCGCCAACAATTACAAATCCCTTTAGGGAGGGGTGTCAATTATTTGAGCGGTCCCTATCCAACAATTAGTAGCGAATCACTGTAAATACTTGCTATGTGTTGTGTGTGCTGGCGTGCCGAGAGATTTTGCTCGTGTGAAATATGTGCCTGAGCTCAAGAAAGGTTGGGGAAACAACGCTCGACGGGGCGATGTGTGACGTTTTGAAAATATATAAATATGACATTAAATAACTATGAACTAAAATATAATTTGTACAAATATATATACATAAATGTTTCTCTTAATTTGACACAGTGTGGAATGTAAAAAAAGGGGACACCGTTGGGAGTAGCGTCACAGGTGCGGGATCTGGCTCAGGAACTGCCATGAGTGGGTGCGGGTGTGCGGAAAAAGGGGTGCGCGGCACCAACCGGGTTCAGTTCTCCGTGTCTGACGCGTCGGACGCCTCGGTGAGGCGCGTCTGCCGCTTGCGCACGTTCCAGTGCAGACACTGCGCCAGGCTCTCGAACCAGTCGTACACCAGGTCGTGGCAGCAGATGGACGGCACGGGGTAGCACGACGTGGTGATCTTGATGCTAAGCACGCGCACACAAAACAACGCAGATCATTATGAATGGGCGTGTAGAAAGATTGCTATGACACGGCCAGCCCAGGTTTGGTCGAGCATTTTACCACCCCAAAAAAAAAATCGGACTTCATTCTTGACAGTAAAAACAAAAATCGGATTATTTGTCAAAAAGAAATGACTTGTCAATCAATTCCAACAACCCATGAATGTCCGAAGTAGTGGACGTACCAGTCGCCATGTTGGATCTCTTGTCTCTTCCTGCCATCGAACGACACCCAGGCCGTATTCCTGGCGTCGGGGGATAAGGTGATCTTGGGAAAAAAAAAATTGTATCATATAAAAACATAATAACAGTAGAAAGAGAGAGAGAGAGAGAGAGAGAGAAAATCCCATACCATGAGCTCCACTCCGGCGGGTACCACGATGGGCCTGAAGGAGAGCGAATGCGGGCAGATTGGCGTCACCATGATGGCCGGCACGTTGGGATGGATCATGGACGCCCCCGCCGCCGCCGCGTACGCCGTGCTGCCCGTCGGCGTGGAGACGATCACGCCTGGCGGAGGACGGTCACGGGTTAACGCTTGTCGGAAAGGCTGAGAAGAGTAGAACGTGGCGGGCGTGGGGTCTCACCGTCGCCTTGCACGGAGGTGATGAGACGTCCGTCCAAGTACAGGTCCACGTTGGACAGGTAGGATGAAGGCCCGCGGTCCACCACCACCTCATTCAGCACCTACACATGCAAACATTGGTCAATAGAGACTTGGCTTTACGGCTGCCCTCCTCAAATACGGGTGGGCCCCTTTTTCCCCCTCTGGACTACAATAACGTGTAATTGCACATTCACTACAGTAGGTGGCAGTAGCATTCTGGTTGTCAGTATGTGAGGATAAACAATGTTAATACAGTTTCTCACCTGACTGATATACAGTATCTTTTTGTTTTCTTTATGATTCATAAGGATACAACGTGATGTACAATTTTCATTCTAAACGTTTTCCTGAAACAAAAAGCACATTTTTTCCCATTGAGATAAAATGTCATTTCTTGAAATATTCTACTTTTGTACCTAAAAAATATTGATTTGAATAAAAGATAAAACATTTTATCAATTCCTGCTCTGACCCCAAAGTCATTGGCTAGGATCGAGCTCACCCAGCACAGAAATGAGGCGGGACGGGCACTTGATCTAGCAAAAGACATTAGAAGCAGCTGCAGTCGTTCTGAAAAGTGAAAATTGTTGCTGCGACTGATTGCTGGACTCCGTTAGATCCAAACAAGAAATTATCACGAGGCTGCATGTGGCGCATGCAAATGAGCGTCCCACGCGACAGACGCTCACGACGTCTGACAGATGCGCTGACGTCAGCCGCCGACCGAGCGCGCCCTCGAGGGGAGGCTAGACTGAGGCGCTGACGGAAGAATCATCAATCAGCCTCTTCAGTCTATCAATGAGATCAGACACGCAGGGAAGAGGAGGAGGTGAAAGGGGGAAATGATCCACCGCAGTCGTGTCCGTGTGTGTGTGTGTGTGTGTGTGTGCGTGCGTGCGTCAGCAGACTCTATCCAAGACCCATTTGGCGTCGGCTCTGCTGTTGACGCCACGATCTCCGCGGCAGCTTTATTATGACTGTCGCCACGGCAACGCAGCCTGCAAATACGCGCAACAGGCAGGAAGAAAAACCAACAACCGGGAAGTCGGAGGGGATGAAAAGGAAACGGGATGACGGGACCTCTTTTTCAGAAATGGAACACATTGCCGATTCCATTTACACCGCGGCAGGACAGAGAACTGAAATGAAAGCCATCGCCTGCTTGCGTCGAAAGCAATTGTCTAACGTTGTGTTCTGTATGTGAGTGACTTCTCACCATCACCTGGCACGGTGTGCACGTGTCGTGTTTTTGCTCCAACAACGCCGCTATTTTTTCAGCTTTTCCCTAGAGGATAGCATTCTTTGTTTATAAGCATAGCGAGCAATTCCGACTAAGGCAGTGGTGCCTTGACATCCAAGTTTCATTCAATTCGCGACGACGCTCATTCATGAAAACAGTTGTGTCGCAAAACATCTCTTCCCACTGAAATGAATGGAAATGCCATTAATCTGTTCCAGCCTTCACCGAAAAATCAAAACAATTGTTGCAATGTAGATTTGAAGAAGGCGCTTGTGGCTCAAATCCTCACTAGCTCGTCAAAGCAAAAAATAAAATTGGCCGAATGACGGCTCGCATCTTGAAAAACTCATGAATCGGGTCACCCGTCTCTCAAGGCGCCACTGTATCGTTTTCAATGATGGAAGACGAAAGGAGCTCACCTGAAGCTGCAGGGTGACCTTGCCCGCGTCGCTGCTCGTGTAGCGGTGAGGAACCAGTCCGTTGATTTCCGGTTCCTGATCCTGTTCCCGCTGCTGCGGCAGCAGCATCTCCTTCACCACCTTCACCTTCAGGCGACTGCGCAAAGTGATGGCCGCGTTCCCTGAACACATCGCCAGACGCTTCGTAAATGACACGCCTGACACAAGTGCCACAAACTGTGCAAATGCGTGTCGGTGTGACAATGCGTTTGCGTTCCGGTCCGTTCTGGCACTTTGGTGCCATCTGGTGTTGATAATAGAAAAGTTTCTCTTCTTGCCAGCGTGTTTTGACATCCATGGAGAATGACGGACGTTTTTTAGGGGCGTGTCAATTTGTTTGGAATTTTCGCTGGTGGCAGGGCTCGGTCCTGAGAACAATATATGACCTGTGTGTTTATGATTGTAGTTAAAGTGTTCTTAAGTGTGTTTGAGATGGCGTTAGGTGTACCTAATGAAGTGTCTGCTGAGTGTCGCCTACCTTCAAAGACTTTGTCCACTTCAGTCTTGTACGACTCAAATTTAAAGGGCGTCAAGAAGCCCAGAGAGCCCAGGTGGAACGCCATCACCGGGGGAACGCTGCCCTGGACGAAGAGACGTTTGAGGTCAATTGGACCGATCCCCCGAGGCTAATGCTAACAAGACGCCAAAGAGACGCGTGGCTCTACCTGGAAGAGAGAAGAAGCGTAGAGCAGCGTGCCGTCTCCGCCCAGGCAGATGATCAGGTCGATGCAGTCGGAGATGTCATCGTAGCCTGCAGTGGGTCACAAAACCAGACCGTTCGGTGGAGAGAAAAAGTCTACGCACCCCTGATGGAATGTCAGGTTTAGCAAAGATGAAGTCGTCTGAGAATTTCGTATCACGGTTGTCGTGAGCAAAAGGATGAGTGAGGGTTTATAAGTAGACTTCACAGGCATCTTATCGAGTGTAGGGAAATCGGTTGACAGTTTGCATTTTATGTAAGATCGGTGATCAACTGTAATGTCGTGAGTTGCGCGATCTATCAATGGCGTCATTGATCGGAGCCGCGAATTAAGACATTACAGGAAACACAACCTATTTTTAGCTTTGTCTCGTGTCAAAAGACTGCGCTTGGAGGCAGAAGTTCTTCCTTTGGAACCTCAACTATTCAATAACAAGGTAAAAGCGTTTGGGTCTTTTTTTTTTTTGGTACAGCTACACCGGAGCCAAATGTTTTCCAAAATGTGCTTGCTATGTCACATACATGGCAGGTAAAAAGTGGGCAAAGGAGATGGACAAAATACGTGTTTCTTGCCAAATCTATATTGAATGTTTAGCTGCATTTTTTTGTTCCTCCCCGGGTCAATTGAGGCTCACTCACCCTCTCTAAAGGTGCACAGCTGGTTTCGGATGGAGCCAAAGTTCTCATCTTTGGAAAGCGTTCCGTCGTCAGCCACCCGCCGCTCCACGTACACCATCATTTGCTTCTCCTAATTCACACGCACAAACACACGCACTAGGAGGGCTGGACTGGCACAAAAAAAAAAAAAAAAAAAAGTCCCGGCCTTTTGACTTAGACCAGCCCACGTGCGCTTGCAACGCGCTCCGTAACTGAGAAGTCATTGTTTGTCATACCATCCACAGTCGGGGTTTTGTGAAATAAAATGCACAGATATCCAAACCTTTGCTCAACACACTGGAAGTGTGTGCATATAAGTCCATTTGACTTTTTAATTTTGGGAGGCTTCAAATTCTTGTTTCCCCGTGGAAGTGATTAATACTCGCAGACATAGCTGGTATGGACCAACTTTTTGCAATGAAAGGACGTTAATTTTAGATCTTCTGTTACTGCCGTAGTGCATTGGAATCTAGCCCCATTTTTGTACTGCTCTAAATGTCTTAGTTTAACACTGTGCAAAGTACAAATACACACAAAGAGCTCATTTGTTGGCAGCAGTCACGCAACGTGGTCACACACACAGACGCACGGGCTTTCATCCAAACACACACACACACACACACACACACACACACACACACACACACACACACACACACACACACACACACACGAGGTGCGTCGTTACTGCGCACGTACCTCGACGAGAAACCGGCACAGCTCTTTGAAAGGCTCCGCTAGGCTCTCGTCTCTGATTTTCCTGATGACCAGGACGTTGACGGGAGGTTTGTTCCAGGTGAGACGCTGGCTTGCTGGGTCCTGGATGTGCCTGACAAACCCACATGAGACCTTAGCGCCGTCTTGACAGGATTCCTTCGCCGTTCAAAAGTTCAACATCCTTGGATACGTTCGGTAGTTCACCAAAATGACAAAACTACCGTCACCGGTTCCCTTTTGCATTTTTTCTTCTACCTTTTTTCTCGCTCCTCCTTACTGCGACGGCTGACCGGCATTGTTTTGATAAACTCGCGCACACACTCCGAGGGAAAAACACATACTGACATGAGGTGAGAAGCATGTGTAGTTGCCTGTTCTGTGACCATTCCCATTCGGAGATAAAAGAACCAATCACAGTATTCCTGTTTTTTTTTTTTTAAATCTTATCTCACAGGGTTACGCAAGTGTTTCGGTGTCAATGTCTACAAACGCGCACACGCACACACACACACACACACACACACACACACACACACACACACACACACACACACACACGCATAGCCGCAAACGTGCCGACATAAGGAGAAAAAAGTACTTTTTTTAAAAAACATTTTCAGTCAATCTGATAGTTAGGTCGCGATACAAAAAGATACATAGAGAGAGAAAGATGGCGTCATAGAAATGTTCTGCAGATAGAGAAAAAGGTACAGAGGTAAGAGACGGACGGACGGATAGACAGACAGACGTTCGTACGAGGGGGCGTGGCAAATTAAGAATGGAATCATGATTTGCGGACTGGGAAGAGATGGTTGGACGTCATCGCGACCGGCGTTTTGTTTCCATGATTACTGTTAGAGCGAGCCAACTATCTATGACAGTTCCAGACTTAAACCGCGAGGGAACACCAGTTGATGCATCTCAAGAGTCCACACGCATGAAATCAGACCTGATGTTCTTTTGGCAATGCTCTCAATCTTTTCGTGGCACCCTGAAAATCCTATCCAGTGACTTGATGTCAAGCAAATACAAGTCGGCGTGTTGATCCCCACAAACAAAAAAGAACTGAAAGGGCCTGCAGTAAAGGCCTGGAAAAGAATCTCACATGAAGACTGCAACAGTCAATCAATTGGTTGCAGGGTTGATGCAGTGATTGCTAGACTGCTTTATGTCACCAAATATGAAAGGTGATTCACTTTCAGCTCATTTGATGATGTCTGTTCTAATACTTTTGCTCACTTGAAAAGTGGGTGGCTTGAAACGCGAGCTGCTTTCTCTCTCTCCTGAGTTGTGTCTCGATGTAAATGCCATGAAATAAAAGCTGAAATATTGAATGTCTCGAATTCATCTCTTGCTCTACAACTCATCAGT